GGGTCTTCATTGTTTACTAGTTTCTCTGGCAGTGTAGATTGTAGGATGGTAATCCCTTACTCTATGTCTAAAATCCACATATGAGTGCGTACATATGTTTGTCTTTTTGTCATTGGGTTACCTCTGACCTAGCTCTTTAGAGCCCAGTTATCAGAGTAAACCATAATGTCTTGGTAATTTCCCATTGTATATACTGTGAATAAACGACCACAGAATGAAAGCTGTATGTACACCTCCTCTGAAAGCCGATCAGCTGATGAACTTCAACAATTACAGAGAGATTGAGAACCCAGAGTCAAATTATCTTAGGGCATCTATAGTCCCTTTCATATCTATTCATTACTAAACATTTTTGTGACCATTAGGTAACTCATTGGAACTTAACAGAGCACTACTTTCCAACCAACCAAAAGCTGAGGTGCCCCCAGACAACATCTGAGGACTGTAGATCCCCTGCTCTGCTTTAACTCACCTTCCTAATGTTTCCACCAGTGTATGTGACAGGTTCCCTCATTTATAACTATCCATGAAGCAGTCACCACATAGGAACTTGGAATTTGGGGGAAAACTTAAATCTGTATTACTGAGCCACAGCCATTACAACTTCATCATCTTTCTGTCTTTCCCCGCCTAACCTTGACTATGTTGAAACTTGCTCTGTAGACCAGGCTATGAGAGCAACTCCACAGCTTTAGAGGCTCAACCATTGGCTAGAAGCACACATGTGGGTGCAAACTGCCCCCTGGATCTGGCCTGCAAGTTGCTATGAAAAGACTTGGAATGGTCACTCACTTTGTAAAACAGACATCTCTGGGAGACATTTGGGTCCTCAGACTCACACTTTCATTTTGCCAGCACATCTTGGCAGCTTCAGACACCTCCAGCACAGTGACAAGTATCTTGAGGTACCACTAGCATCCCTCTACAGCCTGAGTGGCAAGTTTGCAAGAACAGGTCTGAGCAGAGGGCTGAGCTTGGAGCCTCAATTCTGTCTCCAGGCAATGGGCTGGCTTCTGTGTTTTCCCCTGGAAGATGGTGGAGTTTCTACTGAAATCCTGCTTCCAATGAGAGCAAGTGTGAGAAGCAGCACAGATGTCTGGGGCAGCATCTACAATCAAAGACTGGATATGCCATGTATTTAAAGGCAGTTTACATTTACTTTCTGCTTACAAAGGTGGGAAACCTGTCCTCTCATTTCATCATTTACCAAGACACTGCTCACTCTCCAGGAGCCTGGGCACAGAACATAGGCTTCTGGGTAAGTCAAACACTGTGCTCCAGGCTGTGCAAAGACTCTGGCCTCCTGTGTTGACTCCCAGTGGAGGCAAACAGGGCACTCTTGGTGTTCAAAAGCAGCCATCCAAGGAAGCACACATTCATTTCCTCACTACCTACCCAGGCTAGGCTTGATTTCCACTGCTCCACAAATGGAATGCTACCCCCTGCTTGTGTTCTGTATCTAGCCAGGTCACAGTCAACAGTGCGGCTTTACTCTAGTTTCCTTGGGGGGAAAGAGGGCAAGCATCCTCCTGAGAAGATGTAAGTAAAGTACCTCATATGACACGAGGGTCACAGATAATGCATGATTTTTATGGAGACTCAATGCAGCTAAGACTGCCACTGTCCTGGTCTCTCTACCCAGTGACCATGTTGTCACCATCTGAAGGGCCATCTACCTATACACTAATCCTTCCCCATGGCTTTTCTAGAATTCACTCTGAACCTGTGGTCAGAGAAATTTAATGCAGATCATGGTGGGATCTCCCACTGTCTCCTGAGGATAACATCAACTACAGATCCTGTATGTGCTCAGCTTCTCTCTCAGTGGGGTTGAGCACATAGTGTTTTCATAAATAAACAGAGCCATGTAGGGTTACACGTGTGATTTTATTTAGATGTTACTTGTGATCTATAGTAAGATATACAAACAGATTAAAAATTGTTTGACAGTTTTTAATACTTTAGATTCAATTCACAACTGCATTGATAATACTGCAATATAACAGATACTCTCGTTCATAAAACAAAAACTCCTCATTAGTCTTGCTGATACACTCTTTGCAGTCTTTAAACGTTCCAATATATCACACATTTCTGCAGAAAATCTTACAAAGCTTTCATGACCCTTCCCATCCTATGCTCATAACAATTTTGATGTGTTAAAAATGAATGAGGATGAAAACATCCACCTTCTAGCAGCATCTTAGTGAATAAAATCTAAGTACGAAGCTCATGGTTTGTGCACTTATTTGCCTTCTGTAGGGCAGTGATGTGCAGACTCAGGAATCTTCTGTCCACCACCTTTCCACACATCCATCCATCTCCCACCCATTCATCCATCCACTCACCAATCCACCTACCCACATATCCATCCATTCACTCACCCACCCACCCATCTACCCACCATCTATCCGCCTACCCACCCACTCACCCATCTATCTACCCATCCATCCACTCATCCACCCACCCACCCATCTATCCATCTACCTACCCACACATCCATCTATCTATCCATCCGCCATTCACTCCCCACCCACCCCTCCATCTATCCATCTGCCTGAGTCTATACCATGAGGAAAAAAAAAAAACATGTCAGATACTCAGTTAAAATACATAGGGAACAATAAAGCTTGGGACAATTTAAAACAATCTTAAAATTTATAACTGTAATTCTAAGCATGAACTTTATAGAGATCAAATATGCTATGAAATTCTGTTCTCCATTTGTTTCAGTAGACTCTTTTAAAAAATAGAAACAGAAAATTTAAACTTTCTTACTTTGTGCTCTTTTGTAAAGTAGTGTATTAGAAGCAACCTGGGTTTACATTTTAGACTAGATCAAATTTGCCGAAAAGATACTCTGGAAGTAATCTAAACTGGATTTTAGCCACCTTCCATTCTTTCAAAGGGTACAGAACACAGTGGGCAAAAGCTTTCTCACTAGCTACAACAAACCAAAACTAACTGGTTGATGAAACTACAGGACAACCAACAACTGATAAGCTCATGACTATTTATGAGTAAAGTGCCACTAACTTCATTATGATGTGATATCAGGAAAAGAAACCCTGACAATGGCTGGTAGCTGTAATGCTTTTCCTCCACCCTGAGAACATAAGGACCCTACCACATGAAGGAATGCTGCCAAATGTGAGTTCTGGAGTTCCACAGGACACAGGAACACAGGAGGAACAACAGAGGCAAACCACTGTAAGTATAACAAAAGACTCAAAGTGGCAAAGTCATGAGGATGATGCCAACAAGTTAGGTCTCAGTACTGGAAAAACAGAAACGAGAAAGAAACATAAAAGCTTCTTAAACTTAGTAATATGGCAGCAAGTCACAACATGGCCGTGTGTGTACAGGCTCCAGGATGATCACTGGAAGTGACTGCCAGTCCACCCAGCAGCAGACATCACTGGAACACACGCCAAAGCAGGGCATAGGGAGGGGGCTGTAGATGGGTTTTTAGTGTCAAACTTGATGTGACGAAAACCTACTACTGGCAGGTGTTGCATGACGGCTGCCCAAGTGGACAGATGTCCACTCACACAGAGGGTGATGTGGGCAGCTGGGTGATGTCCCCAAACTCATGAGCAAAAGTCACTTGTCACTACCCCAATGACATTCTGCACCAACTGACACAACTTCGCCCCAGATCTAGATTCTGCTTTCCATCAAAAGTGAGTGATATAACGGGCTGCAGTCCATTGGGCATGTGCACCTAAGGAGGCCTGGGGAATCAGGGTCCTAGCACATCCATGAGGTCCTTCTGTAACCCAAGCCTGGGACACCCAGTGACTTATTTCAATGAGCAGCTGTCTTTCCAACTGCAAAGCTGACAGTGTCCTCCTGGAGTTAGAGCTCCTGCCTACACCAGGGACCAGACAGCAGGGGGAGGTCAGGGTTCTCTGCCATGGCAATGGGCTGGATCCAGTTTATCTAGTGAGGTACTTTTTAAAATTAAAATGTGCCAACAACATGAAAGACGAGTACTGTGCTTCAGGAGGGGGTGAAGGCCCTGTTTGAGAGACTGGGAGTGAATCCAGCCACAGCACCACGGGTCGTGAACAGCTGACAGCATCTCTCAGCTAAGCCCAAGCCCCTAAGATTCTGAGCAAGTGGGGTGAGGTGCTGAACTATGCTCTCTCCGTGGTGAACAGAGGAGGAAGGATCCCAGGAAATGAAATGTGTAGGTCTCATCTGCACTGGGTGGAGAAGGAGGGGACCAGATGCGGCGGCTTTACCATATAAGATCTGCAGACTCTGGGCAGCTTGCATCTTGCCTAGCTAACTGGTGTCCACACTATCAGGGCTGGGCACTATAGTGAGTTCCATTTGCAACTTTGTACAAAAATCACTAGTGAGCACTTCCCATGTGAGTGCCCACAAGGGTCCCTGTTGAAAAGGGAGCCCTCTGTTGTGGGTGCAGAGCTAACAAAAGCAACAGAGCACACAAGGAAAGCAGAGCACGCACATTCACTCAAAGGCCACCAGGCCAAGAGTCCAAATGGAGAAACATCTCATTCTGATTTGTTAAACCTCTCCCTCTAGAACCAAGTCCACCCAGAAATCACCCTGCAAAGGAAAGAAACAGTAAAGCAGTATCACCTACTGGTTGGAAGACATCACTGAGACACATAGCCATTCATTTTGCAAAGACCTGACACTGGCAGCTCCACAGACACTGCCAAATCAGGATGTACATGAGTGAGACTCAGGGCCAAGAGGGAAGTAAGATGCTATTTCAGGACTGTGCACTAGTTACAGCATATTTCCTGGTGTGCAGCACGGTGTGCTGTGTTTAGTGGCACTTAAGTATTACACAGTAAATACTCAACAAATCCAGAAGGATGTGCAGAAGCAATAGCACACTGTTAATACAAAAGTTACTAAAGCTACAGGGTAACACCACTATGTGGGTGCAGAGATCACACACGCTCCTAACACACTTCCATACGGTGCCCTGGCTGTCCACCTGGTGCCTGGCCCTGTGCTATTCAGTCGGACCAGTCATTCTCGTCAAACTCAGAGTCATCATCTGAGTCACTGTACTCCACAGCGATGCGTCTGGACAAGATTGTGGCCACATCGTTCCCAACAGGCTCCCGTTTGGCTTCCTGCTCACGTTGCTCCTGAACCTTTTTCAGCTGGATTCCTGAAAACACAATGTGGGGAGGACAATCAGTCTCTTTGCTAGCTCCCAGTGAAGGAAAACCAAACAGGTCTCCCTGTTTTTACTGAGTTTACAAATACAAGGCAGTGGCCATCTGAGGATGGAGAGAATGTATGTGCTAAGCCTACTGCAGTAATGGACACAAAATACAACCTTCTGCACAACTGTGTGGGAACACAATATGCAGGGGACCTAACTTGGACCACTTTAAACCTTTCTCTTTGACAGAATTTCAGATTTATGGGCTCACTATGAAACCAGGAGAAAAATAGTCCCAGATTATTTGCACTGGCAGTGTTAAAACAAGCTTTTGCAATCTGTCACACACATACATAGACACAGTCACAGTCACAGTCACAGTCACACACACACACACACACACACACACACACACACACACACACACGCACACACACAAGCACAAGTACACATTGGCCTGGTTCAATGAGCTCAGGCAGAGGCAGATGCATCACAGCTCTGTCAAGGATATTATGCCAGTGGAGTTCCTATGGTTGCAGACCGGCAACTGCCCTCATTTATTTTCAGCTGAGACAAACTGTAACCAGGAGGCTGTACTGTTCCCTAAGGCTCAAGCAGCTCTGTGAGTATCCCACAGCCTGTTTCTGCCCTGGCCACCCTGAGCTTTGACTGGTTAAGGATGAATGGTACCACGCACACACAGGTCTTCCTGGAAGGCTCTGGGGCAGTCAAACAGGCAAGGGGCCAGGCTCCCTCTACTGGGTGTACACAATGAGCATGATACCTCTCCAGTTAAGGACTGGTCGGAAGGGCAGGACTTTTGCCTGGCACAATCTCTATGCTGCTGAATAAATGCTGGAACCACTGGCTTGGCATATGGAGCTTCTCTGTCAAGTCCAGAATAAACTTAGATTTGTTTAAAATGAAACCATTGCTGGTGGCTCACTTTCTTCCATTTTATTCTTGTGGTACAAAGTGGAGAAAGGTCTTATTACTTAATCTATCATTTGGTGTCTAATTTCTGGTTTCTTGTCAAGCACGCATTTCCTGAATTTTTAACTTTTTATTATAATGTGTTTCCATGCTTCCAGTAAAAGAAAGTAAGAAATAACAGAATGTACAGTTATCTTTTGAAGGCAGTGTAGCTAGCTGAGCCCCAAAACAGTCTCTTCTAAAAGGGAGACTTGTGACATGAGGTGTGCACTCACCCATCCGGATGGCAGCCAGGAGGTCACTTCTTGCATCACTTATGGGTGGCTGTGCAGGTTCCGGGCGCTTTGCCTCAGCCACAGGGGGACCATGCAGTGGGGAGGATGAAAGAGAAGAGGGGCCTGGAGGACCAGGTGGAGGAGGTGGGGGGCCTGGAGGTGGTGGTGCTGTGGCCAAGAGCCCAGTGGAGGGCTGGTGGGAAGGGGCGGGGTACGTGGAAGCAGCTGAGGCCGGGAATGGGGGCTGTGTGGGGATCTGGAGAGGGCTGACGAAGGCAGTTTGTGCTGAAGGAATCATGGGTGGAGGGGGAGGCGGTGGTGGTCCTGAGGGGTTGTAGTATTCAATAATCTGTGCTGGAAGCATCCTAAAGAACAATAAGATACAGTCACCAGGGTCACATCTTCCTAGTTCTAATAGAGTTTATAGAGAAGGTCCTTTCAGACACAGTACAGGGCTGCTGCCAGCTAGACAGAGTCACTGTGGGTATACGTGTCCACTCCGAAAGTCACACAATTCATCACGGCAATGAAAAACCCACTGAAATGCACCTAAAACGACCATTTGAAAAGCGTGTTGCACTCTTTGGATGGCTAGGGTACATTCATGACAGTAAAAGGCTGGTGCTCTTTTCATCCTGGGTATCTCAAAGATGCTGTGTAGCTCCTTATCTTATCTCATGAGGCTTCCAAAACATAGGAGACAGGGCTTGGGAGGATGTTGTTTTCTTTGACCCTGTCCGATGAGAATCTCCAGGGTTAAGGGGCCCAGCGACATGTCAAACACCCCAAGAGACATGACAATGTTTTTCAAAACCAGAGACTCTCTGTTATTGTTCAGGCATCTGTACTGGCCTGTCCTTGGGGTTCTGACAGGATATGCCCTCAGCTGCAGTCACTAAGACCACCACCTGTGTATATTCACTATGTTCCTTTTTAAAAAGGTCCCTGCCCAACTCCCATCCTCCTTTCTCTCCCTCTCTCCCTCTCTTTCCTTTCTCTTCTCTCCTGCTGCTCCTGTCTCCGGAGGCCAGTCTCCCCCTTCCCTTTCCCCCTTTTTCCCTTCCCCTAACAACAACAACAACAACAACAACAACAACAACAACAACCCCTCTGCTTGAATCCTGTCCCATGGCATCTTTCTCTTGTGCTCTGCTTTTCTGAAATTACACTTTCCATGCGCTTGTTGTAACAGCCTTAAAACACACATTCTAGTAATTCCAGCTTAGCCAATGCCTAAGGATAGGGGACAATCAGACCCTGTGGTCTCCTCTTTCAGGATGTGGGTACAATTAAAAAGCCAAGGCCAGCACTCTGGTGGAGGCACATTGCTATATTCAGATTTTTTGGGTGCAGACACTAGGGAGCAGACATTTGAAGACTAATTTTGAAAGAGCTAAAGGCAACCTACCAAAATAAAGGGGAGGGGCTCAAATGAATTAACACATGACCAGGAAGGGTCTGTACACAGTGCAGGCATTCAACCCACAAATCAGAAAACAAGAGGGTGTAGGGCAGAATGCTCCAGGGGCCCAGAGACCAAGAAAGGGGCTTACAGGATGAATGGCGAGGAGTGTGACATTACATGCTTTCTTTGTCTATGACCAGCAGTCCTTGAGAAACTTGAAGGTGTGAATAGGTTGGCAAATAAGCATTTTACCCTTTATTGATGCCTTGGCTTAGTATCAGTACATGAGCAGAGGAACAGGGGAACACACACAAACACACTGTCCACCTGGCATGTGACAGGGTTCTACATCTATTTTATTTGACACAGACTCTGTCAACACTGGTATTATGCCCAACCATTCTTAACTATATTCTATGTGATAAAATCCTTTCAAGACACAAATTCAAGAGCAACAGCGAAAGTGAATAGCAATTTACCCATAGTCGGCAGGAGCCACTGATGTAGAAGCCTGGGCCCCCTCTGGGGCCTGGGGAGGAGGTGGGGGTGGTGGCTGCTGAGGTCTGTTTAGGGCCATGTGCCTTGCTGAGGCAGACGAGGGTCGGTACTCGTGCTCAGCGCCTTGGTTTGTGGTTCCATGCAGTGGTGCATCACCAGCTGTGCAGGAAGGTGTCGTCGGCTGTGCTTGCAAAGAGTGGCTGGGAGTAGCAGGATAAGAGTAATCGGTGACATCGGATGTGTGAGACCTGATTTCCAAGGAAATGAGTGGGGGGGGGGAGAAATTGAAGTTTTAAAAATGTCTCCTAAGAGGCAGATGCATATCTACAAATAACAGCATTGTCAGTACACAAGGATGAGACACTTATTTCTTTTATGATCAGCTAGGTCCAGCCCCATGAGAGCTTCCAAGCACAACACAATGATTTTAGCAGCAAGCTCCCAGTATTACATGGATTCAGATTTGAAGCTTTGATAAGTCAGATGAGTAAGTGGGGCCAGCAGAGCCTCGATTTCACAACATTTCATGTACTTCTTTATGAAGACAATGTTATATGTCAAACCCCATTTCATTTAGAAACAAATCCCAGATGGACAGAGAACTGCAAAGGCAAGAAAATATGACAGCAATTAATTAGACAGCAGGAGAACTGGATACATGTTAACGGCAAGAAGAGGAAGTGGGGTCCAGAATGCAATAGTGAGCTGCATTTAAACGGCAGGAATGTGTTTAGCCCACAGAAGGGAAAGCCACACCGACAGGTTTCCTGGGCTGTAAGCACACCGTCGCAACAGAGCTCTAAAAGGAAAGGAGACCGTGAGTTAGTGAGCAGCTTGGAAGGGGCTGACGATGGGCTTCCTGCATGGCCTGCGAGGAGGGTGAGAACTGGCATACATAGGAGCCATGAGCATGTTAGTAAGAGGCACACGTTCTCGCCTGAGTTACAGGACAGTCAGCAGGGGCTGCACATCCTCCCATGATGCTGAAGCAGGGCTCGACCATGGGCTGGGGATCCAAGAAAGCAAAATGACGAACCCTCTGGGCTTCCTGTCTTCCTTCGCGCTCCCTGCCTGATCCAGTTTCTTTGCGTCACTCATGAACTCAATGCCCATTTTCCTCCTCTCCCACTCTTCTCGTCTGGTTCTGACTTTTCTCACGTATACTTGTTGGCTCCTGTTAGGATTCAGCTTGTGTTTCTCTCTCTGAAGGGAAACAGGTAAACATACACTGGGGATGTAGAGAGAGCAGGAACTAAGATACAAACTCGTGTCTGCATTTGGGACTTGGTGAGTAGCTTTCCCCAGCTGGAGCACTGAGCAAATCAAAAGAATCTACTGCTCCTCTCTGTCCCCTAACTACAGCATAAGGATGAAAGGCTTATTTCTCTCCCATTTGGGAGCTGTGGTCTTCATTATGATGTGCCTGTGATGATGTCTGGTCTACTCTGCCAACCTCTAGCAATATTTTAGAGGTAGAGGCTATCTGCCCTGTACTTGGACTCAATGCATTTCAAAAGTATAAACAGATCTAAAACTATGGGGTCACTGATGATATCCACACTCTGCCAAGTAACTAGATCACCAGTATGTACTCTCTAAAGGAAACAGTCACCCAGTACATTGTGGAGTGTCTCCAGTGAGACATGGGAAAGGACACAGCATATTCTGTGGTATAAGTGAGAATGCCATTCTTGGAAAACAGACTTGAGAAACAGCAAAAAGGAGTCAAGACAAAGGGGGTGACCAGACCGAGACAGAAGTGATACACAACTGATGGGAAAAGGAAAGCACAGGATTTCTAGAGGACAGGACTCTGATGAAGGGTGAAAACAGGAGAAGTAGAGAGCATTTGCCAGCAGGCTGTGGGGGGAGGACTCGGAGCTGGCTGAGTGGGCAGGCAGAAGTGGCTATGAGGTGTTGGGAGCCGTCCCTGCATTCTCCATTACAATGATGGCGCCTGCAAGCACTGAATGTAAATAAGATTATTGCGCAGGCGCTGGGTAATTTTCCATTCCTTGATCTCTGCCTATTCCGTGGCGTTATATGGCCTGATGAGCTGCAGCCAATCATAGGGTGACATGTCCCAGGCGGCGGCTGCCAGCCTTTATTAGGGGACGGGATTCTTGGCTCGGGGTCTCTGCTCTGGTAAGCTTATGCTCTCCTCTCAAGACGCATTAAAGCTTTACTACAGAAGGATCCGAATGTCCTGTGTCGTTCTTGCTGGCGAGGCGATTGCGCGGGACAATGAGGCACACCACCAACGTGGTGATGAGGGTGTGAAATCTGCAATGGCCAGTCTCCATGTGCTGCAGCAGAGGGAACTGGTGGGTTACGATAAAGGGGCAGGAAGGAGGCTATTCACCTAGTGGGAGAATGCCATCAATCCCTGGGGTCAGTAGAGAGGCAGGTGGGCAGAGCCACAGCACTAAAGCGTGGCCCAGAACTGGATAGTAGAAACAAGGCAGGGTGGATGTGGAGAGGCACCGATTTCTGACTACAGAGAACATTCCATCAACTTGTCATCCAAAACTCACAGGTGGAGACAAGCCATGCCTAGCAATCTGAGTTTAGTTCACCTGGGCTGAGCTAAAACACTTTGCATATATTACTGCCTTTGTACACATACCATGAAACTTGAGATGAATTTCCTTGTTATGCTTAATGGACATGTGAGAAGGAGGCTTACCACTAAAAATCCAGCTTTTACCAAATAATACTTAAAAATAAGATATTTTTAAGATGTCAAAGAGCTTGGTATAGTGGTGCACGCCTTTAATCCCGGTATTTGGGAGGTTGAGGTAGAGGGATCTCTGTGTGTTTGAGGTCTACATCAAGAGTTCCAGGGCACCCAGGATACATAGTGAGACCCTGTGTCAAAAAACAAAAACAAAAAACAAAACAAAAGAACAAAAAAAACACAACCCAACAATAAGAAAAAAAAAGTCAACAGGAAATGTACAGTGTGATTCCAATGTTGTAAAGATAAAAGTCCCACACACAGGTACAGAAAAAAGACTAGGGACAGATACAGTAAAATGCAAATGGTGTCTCTGGATGATGTTATAATGGATATTTAATTTTAATTTCTTTCTGCAATATCCAGATATGAGTATGTTTTGTTTCATAATTAGGGTTGGAGTGATGGATGGCTCAGTAGTTAAACACACTTGCTGCTCTTGCAGGGAACCCAGGTTTGATTTCCACACCCACATAGCAGTTAAAAACCATCTGTAACTCCAGTTCTAGGGGATCTGACACCCTATTCTGGCCTCTGCAGGCACTGTACACACACACACACACACACACACACACACACACACACACACACACACACACAATGTCATGTACATATGCATACAAGTAACTCAAAAGAAAATAAACATTTTCTTAAAAAGAGAAAAGGCTGCAGTTTTAATAAAATAAGGCAAACTTTCCAAATTAACTCAAGGTGTTCAGTCTAAGCCCAGCGATGCATTGTGATCTGTTTGCTAATAAGTTATGTATGCCAAGAGTAAGTTACTGGAAAGACTATGAGACAAAAGCTAAGTTTTGACAAAATGATCCACCTAGCTCTATTCTGGTAAGCTAAGAGAAATGAAACCTTATCTAAACCATGTGCGCACACAAGCAAAGTATCAAATAATTCCAACGACCCTTGGCATCATGCCATGCATGGAACAATCTCATCTTAGATGGTAGGGTGAGAAGCATTTCAAGGGTTAAAAAAAAAGTCCACATGTTTTCCATCTACATGTTTTCCATCCCAATTAGAGCATCAATAGAGTGAAAACAGGTATGTGCTTTGCATGACAAAATTAAAATTCCAACTAAGTTATCTGTCAAAACAACAAATTGATGCTGGTGAGGACTCTTGGGTCCCTGTATCCCTCCCTCACCGTAGGAGCAGAACCATAATATCAATAAACTGACATTGAAGTTCAATTGTGAGGCTAGAACCCAAGCTCCCAGAGTTCTCTGAATACTGTAGGTAGCAGGTGTGTAGAAAGATGACCTGGGGCGTGCCTTTTCAGAGCTCATAGGCCTGGGCAGGAAGCAATATCAAATGCCCTGCAACAAGTTTAGACTTGTGTCCTAGTAAACACCCACCTACTCCTTGGGTAGGTAGAGACTGCTGTAATTGCTGATGTTTAAGGTGAAAAGAAGAAAGAACCAAAGAGAAGAAATCAAGTATGAAGTGCTTGATTTCTTGCTATTTTTGACATTTTCTTCATAAACTTAGAGCTTTGTTTGTTGTTAATTTAAAGATAGAGTCTCGTGTGTCCCAGGACAGCCTTAGGTATGTAACCCAGGATGGCCTCAGGTATGCAGCCTAGGAGGACCCTGATTTTCTGATCATCCTGCCTCCACCTCTGAGTGCTAGGATTAGAGGCATGTGCCACCACACCAGGCTTGTGACACTCCAGGCTTCACACCCAGGCTTCACACATGCCAGGTGCTCACTCTTCCAACTGAGCTGTGCACCCAGCTTGAATTCAAACTGTAATGCTGTAGACTGGAAGTCCAAACAAATGGATCATAATGATTTGATAAAACAGAAGCAAGACATTAAACCAAAGTTAAAACTGGCTGGTCAGTCACTGGGTGAGTTTCTGTGACAAATGTGACCTCATGACTTCACTGTTTACACCTGCAAGAAATACTCTTACTTAGGTGCTGCCAACTTTTAAAAGAAAACTCAGTAGGAAGTCCTCCTGAATTGAGAGCCTGTAAGATGAGTTATCTGGAGTGAGACATCAGCCCTCTGTCGTCTGTCTTCTTCCAATGAAGGTCTTCCTGGATCACTACTGTAACCACCCCATGATCATAGTTAGGTGACAAAGAACAAAGGAAATTCAACATTCTATATTAAAGTAAGAGACAATTAAGCAAAATTCAAGTCATTGACAGTCACCCAAGTTCAGAATCCACTTTAAACTCCACTTTACAGATTAACCCCAGAGCAAACTTAAAGTTTAAACAGCATGTAAAGTAATCCAACTTCAAACAGCACTGCCATAAGGCATTATTTTCAAAGCAAAAGATGGACATCATTTTTAAGACATAGCAGGGCACATAGAAACCCAAAACACAGGGGCTCAAACATGGGGAGAGGGGTCCGTGACATGCACACACCTAGTATCTGGGGACAGAGATCCCTCGGAGGATGCTCCGTGGTGCACACTCTGAGACAACCTGTTGTCGGGCCTAAGCTCTTTGTCATACGCCATCATATTCCACTCCTGGCGCCTGTTTCTGGCTTTTCTAACCTTTTTCACCTCACGGGTGGTGCCATCTACACGTTTTTGCTCCTGATGTCCAGGAAAAGAAAGCAAGCATGCCAAGACAGAAGGGAAAGGAAAACAGCAGGTTAGATGCAGTTAAATGCACAGCAAACAAGCCTGGTGCACACACGAGAGGCATTTTCATCCTGCTTATACCCGAGTGTAAGGAAATTCTAAGACAGCATATGCCTCAGGTTCACCAGGCCCATCAGAAATCAAGTGGGTCTCTAAAGAAACAACAGGCTCCCACTCCTACTAGAGCACTTACCTTCGCCTTTGGAACTGGACTCTGGCTCACTAGGGTTATGGACTGTTTAACACACTCACACTTAGATCTGCATTGCCCATGTGAAGTATCTGGTAAAACCATTCATAAAAATCATTTCCCTCATTGACATACTTTGAACACCCTACATGAGCATGTGTGTGAATGCATGCACACTCACACACACACACAGATAAAACTTACCTGTTCATACACAAAGCTATTCTTACACCAGTCCTGTTTGTCAGCTAAGGCTCATTCAGTGTTCACTGTGGTCCCATGCAAGCCCCTACTCCAAGTAAGACCCTCTTTAAGACACATCTGTCCCTTTTCTTGCACAAACATTTCTGATCTCTTTTGACAAAGGTGGTGTGCTCCCCCCGCCCCAATTCTCACATATGGACCTCACCACACTGTTTTACCTTTACAGGAAGCATACAGTCAATACATGCTGGCTGAATGATCAAAACCACACACCATGCCTCAAGCATAAACATGTCCCGGGGACTATGCTCAGCACTCAGACACTGATGACACAAATGGCAAACACACACACACACACACACACACACACACACACACACACACACACCACACAGTTTCTATCCTCATGGAGCTTGTACGCTGGAAGTCTGAAAGTTGGCATAAACAAGTGTCTCTATAGAATATTGTAAAATATAAATGTATCTATATTTTTAAAAAGTGATATATCTTACATACAACTTTATATTAGATATGCATATTATATGTTTCTACATCTCATATATTTAAATATGTGCATGTGTATATATGTACACCAAATGCCATCTTGTCTGCAATTTAAGGCAGTGAGAGAATGGTGGACAAAGTGGATCGTTTTTAGAGGCTCTGGAACAAAGAGTAAAGACATCAGATGCACACAAGATGTAGAATGGCAGGAGAGGACATGAAAAGACGCGATGCAGATGAGAAGGGACACTCAGCAAACTAACACTACTAGAGGCTGTGGCGAAGGCCTGTTAGCAGTAGAAACTAAGTTTTCAGCCTTTTGAGAGGCAGGGGGGATATGACGGGACCACCCAAATCTTGCCATGCTTTCTCCTCATTAGCAGCAATTCAACTTCTAGGAATTTATCCTAAAAACCAACTCTACTGCTGTAGGAATCCTACTGTGGTATTTTAAAAGTGCAGTTTACAATCAGTATCCATTCATCAACATGGCAAAGGGCAGGTAGTTAATGGGGCACTTGTATTTCAGAAATCTGTACACTATTCAGAAAAAAACCCCACATCTTTAATAATTCATGTGTGCAAAAATCGTGTCTGGTATGATTTTACATATATAAAATGCTTCACCACATGTGTATGCATGCCTTAATACATGGTCTGAAAAGATGCTCATGAGACTCCTAAGCAATGGTAGGTCCTCACAGAAAGGGTGTGCCTTTGTCACCTTCAAAGCCACTTGGCTGTGCTATAGCTAGGACATATTGTTTGTCTACTTTTAAAACCCAAAAGAAAAAAGGGGGAGGGGGACTTCAATGTGAAGTCAGTTTGCATCCCAATTGAGAGCCGTGGTGTTAAAGGCACCCACCAGCCATCCCTCTTCCTGCTCGAGAGGCACACATTGACATATTCAGGAAATAATTGTGTTATTTCTTCACAATGGTTCAGTCTTCAGTTATCCAGTAACAAGTATATAAGATGGAGACACACACACCAGGCCATCATCGCTAAATATTAACGGTAATAAACTATCTCAACCACACTGGCCCACATTAGAATTCCCAGACTATGCAACACAGCTCTGTACCCTAGGCTGCATCACCATACTTTTTCCAAGGAAACCCCTAACTCTTGAAGCCCACCCACCACACCTATCTCCTGTCCTAACCGACCCCCACCTCATGCATGCCCTTATTCTGCTAACCCAGATTACTATGTCCAGCAAAACTACCAGTTATTGTTGAAGGAGAAACACTTCCACGATGAAGAATACAAACTAAAGGAATCCATGATGTAATGGAAGCAGCCCTATAGCTGTGACGTGTCCACATCTTAAAAATATGAGGGATTTGAAATACAAATTTAACAATGTGTCTTAGAGCCTTGGAAAAATAAGAACAAGAAAAACCCCATCAGCAGGTGAACAGAAAAAACAGACACCAGGGGAGAAAGAAATTGTAAAAAAAATAAATAAATAAAAAATAAAAGGGTTGATTATTTGAAAAGATAAAAATGATTGACATTTAGTCAAACCAACAGAAAGAATCCAAACAAAGATCCAAATTAATAGGATTAGAGGTGAAAAGGGAAATCCAGGAACAGACAACACACAATTCAGAAGCTCACAGGGCTATAACCGAAGACTAGCTTTAGAGTAAGTTGGTAAACATGAAAGAAATGGATGCATTTCTAGGTGCCTATGACCTACCAAAATTAAGCAAAGAGAATAAAAACTACTTAAACTTCTATAAAAAGCAACATTGAAGCAGTAATAAAAAAGAAAAAAAGGCTGGGTGGTGGTGGTGGTGCACGCCTTTAATCCCAGCACTAGAGATGCAGAGGCAGACGGATCTCTGTGAGTTCAAGACCAGCCTGGTCTACAAGAAAGAAAGAAGGAAAAGAAAAAAGAAAAAAAGTCTCTCAAAAACCCTAGGTGCCTGAGGGAGTCACTGACTTCTGTGAGGCAGTTACAGAGCTAACAGGGATGCTTCTTAAGCTGTTTCCTAGACTAAAAAGGGAGAAATGCCATCAAACGTTCTAAAAAGAACCAGTATCACCCAGATACAGAAACGGGATAAATATAAAACAGCAACAAAAAAGAGAATTATAGGCAATTTCCTTATCAGAGGCACAAACATTTTCAGGAAAATGCTTGCAAATGCAACTCAAGAACACATCAAAAAGATCATTCAACATGATCAAATTGGCTCATTCTGGAGGTGTGAGGATGGTTCAGCATATGCACACTGGGGAGTAAGACCCTATGTAACATATGAAAACATGCTCTACCCCACTGGCCCTCAGGATATGCAAATTCACAGACTACCAGAAGGAGCCCTTCTTAGGAAACACAGATGACAGCTACACCCAGAGTCTGTCTCAACTCAGTCAGAGAAACACTTATTAAGAAAAGTACCGCCTGTGAGGACAGAGAGAAGGGAACCATAAACACTGTCTGGGCCTGGATGCAAATTAATCCTGCACCTAGGGAAGCAATATAGGGGTCCCCTGAAAGCCAAATCAGACCAGCGCCCCCACTTCAGGGATTTGTCCAAAGGACTCTAAGTCAATTTATCAAAAAGATGGTTCCTCCCAAGCTTTCCTACAGTGTCACTCACAACAGCTAATTGCTGACTGTCAACAGAGGAGTTGATAAAGACAATGTCAGGCACATGCACAAGGAACTGAATTCAGCTAACAAAGAATGAGGGAAAATGGATCTCCTAGAAATTCTGATATTAAGTCTGACTGTGAAAGACAAATATCACATGTATTCCTTCATTGATGGGTCCTAGAAATTATCACACACACACACACACACACACACACACACACACACACACAGCAATATCCCTGTGAAATAGTACAATTGAATGTATGCCAGCAACAACAAAAAGAATTTTCTTTCAACAGGCTATGGGCCAGAAAAGTAAATTCCCAGAACTGGAGGGATGGTTCAGTGGTTAAGAACACTGGCTGCTCTCAGAGGACCTGGTTTCCATTCTCAGCACCCACACCATGGCTCACAACAACCTGTAACTCCAGTTTCAGGGGATCTGATAACCTCTTCTGGCTCAGCAGGCACCAGGCACTCAAGTGATACATGATATACATATAGGCAAAACAAACCTGAACAAACAAACAAATAAAACTTTCAGAAGGGAAACCTCTCCTGAAGAGGACCCTAAGAAGGGAGGGCATTTTGGAAGGGCAGGAAGTGTCCAATACATTTTTTTTCTGCCATGACTTCTTGGCTTGAATTCTTGAATTCTTTGTAAAACTCGGAATCTTCCCAGATTCCCCCATTACACCTGTGCAACCATGAGTGTAGGAAGAGAGTGTAATCTAACACACATCTTATAGACCCTGTCCCAGAATTGGGGCATCCCCCTGTTTCCTCTTCTCTTTATTCTTTAGTCGGTGCTGAGAAGTGAAGCCAAGACCTGTGCATACTATCTGGTGCCCCACTGCTGAGCTGCACCTGGCCGACCTTAAATCCTATTTCCAAACCTCAAGTTCGTATTCATCTTCAACTCTACTCCAACTAGGTCAATACAGCTAAACACTTCAAACCCCTCAGACTATCCCACAGAGGACTAAGTATTTCTTCCAGTGTAACCTGGTATTTGTCAAGTAAGCTGGGTGGTTGTTTTGAATATATATATATATGTCTCTGTCACCAGTCCTTTTATTCCCATGTAGCTTCTGACTCAGGTGAACCGCATGTTTGGAGTTGTCTTGAGTCAATTATGCTACAAAGACAGTGCAATCAAGGAAAGAGGAAAGAGGTAGATACCGATCAGGGATTAGTGATTATTTTGTTTCTAAGAAATCCTCCTCGTTATTTTTTTAATTCTTTAATTACTACTCATATTTACATATCCATCCCCCACATTCTCTCACCCTCCCATCCTCCCATTTTCCTCACCAACCTCCCAACCCATCTCCCAATTCCTCCCCAGGCATAGTGAGGCCCTCCACGGGGGACCTTCAAAGTCCGTCATATCATTCGGGGAGAGCCTAGGCCCTCCTTGTTGTATCTGGCTATAATAGTATCCCTCCATAGGGAATGGGCTCCCAAAGTCCATTTGTGCTCTATGGATCAACACTAGCTCCACTGTTAGAGGTCCCATAGATTTGTTTTGTTTGTTTTTTTGAGACAGGGTTTCTCTGTGTAGCCCTGGCTCTCCTGGGACTAGCTCTGTAGATCAGGCTGGCTTCGAACTCACAGAGATCCCATTGCCTGTGCCTCCTGAGTGCTGGGATTAAAGGTATGCACCACCAACACTTGACAATATTATATTATTGATGTTTGTTCTTGGTTTTCTGGTTTGTATTTGGTGCTTTTTCTTTTGAGACAAGGTCTCACTATGTATCCTTGGCTGTTCCAGCATCTTTTATGTAGACCAGGCTGGTCTTGAACTTACAGAGATCTGCCCGCTTCTGCCTCCCCATGTTGGGATTAAAAGCGTGGCCTGGGGTTGATTTCTGAACAGTTTATATATAAAATTCACTACTCTCAATGGGGTAGGTCTAAACTATGAGCCCTAAGGGGCCTGGTTTCAAAGTAGAAGTTTCTGAACCTGAACAAGCCACCTTGTCTTGCCAAGATGCTGTGTGGGGCAGCTGGCTCTAAATGTGCCAACTGGGATTCCTCTTGTTTTCTATCTCCACCCTCCCCCAGGGGAGGCTCATTTGTAGGATAGATCTCTGAAAGCACGGATCACTCATGCTTCCCAATCTCTCACGAACACCTCACCAAGTTTTCAGTCACAGTGAGGTGGCTCCCCACAGCATGACTGTGAGTAAGACAAAGCACCCTGATGCCTGACAGGAGCACTGACTGTTCTATGAAACTGAGGGAGCCAAGGGACAGCAGTTATGAAACAGTCAGAAATCAAACTGAAGAGGTAGCCACTTCTTTTGTTAGAGACAGACGAGTGCTGTAGAACAAACCCTGTCATATTTATTTAAAAATAGTCTTGCTGTGCTAGATTAAAGTGTCAGGACTGTTGTGTGAAAAGAGGACACCCTGAGAAAACCTGAGCACTAGATGTAACATCCCAACTATCTGAGCAAAGGACCCGTGTGCACACTGGTGAGTGCATCCCACCCAGCCACGCACCTTCTGACGCCGTTTCTCCTTCCTCTTGTCTTCTGTGTCCTGCAGCATCTTTTCTTTCCAGAGGTCAAAGAAGTAAGAGGGATCCGTGTAGAACTTCAGCCCATCTTTCTTATCATCTCTATGGACCAATGCATTCAAAGTCAGGGCAAGAAAGATTGTTAGCAGCCTTCATCAGGGGAGTGGCATTAAATTTACCTCTTTGGATCCTAACACTTAACAAGGAATCCTAACCACCTTATATATTATGCCCTAAACTTGCCTATTTGCAGAAACATGGAAACAGGCACAAAAGCAAATAACCCTACAAACTTAAAAAATGAGAGCTAACTAGATGTAAATCCTCTGTGAAAATTCCCTCCAACTCACAAATATCCAGTTTCAATAGCTCACACATTTAAGGAACTATTTGGTTTATTCTAACAGCAAGCTACATTTAGAGGCAGCTGGATGCTCAGTGCACATTAACTTCTACTGGGAACTTCAATACGGTTATGATAATAAAAAACTAGTAAGTGCTCTGTTCCTCTTTGTCAATTAAGGTTTACTTTTTTCCCATTTGGAAAAAAAGGCAAAATGTTTGTGGTACGTAGACAGGACAGAAACATATTCCGTGTGGCTATGTCAGTTTCAAGTACTGCTATGATTGCTATAGTCTAAATAATATTTCAAGTCATTATATAAATTACTCCCTTACCATTGAGCCAGTAATAACATAGCCACCATGAATTCAAGGTTGTGATAGCAATCAACAGCCCTGCTCAAAGGGCTACAGAAATGGCTCAGCAGCTAAAAGCTCCAACTTCTCTTCCATAGGACCTGAGCTCAGGTCTCAGTACCCATGTCAGGTGGCCACAACTGCCTGTAACTCCACCTTCCCCTTCCAGCCTCTGAGGGCACTGTACTCTTGGGCCCATACATATAGACAGATACATAATCAAAAATAAAAATAGAATCTTTAAAGAATGCTTTCCATTGCTCTCAGAATAAAAATGGAGGAATTAAATTTTTTCTGTAATGTTTGTGATAGTCATGATTAATGTAGACACTATGTTCAAAATTAAATCAGGAGGGCCGGGTGGTAGTGACGCTGCCTTTAATCCCCGCACTCAGGAGGCAGAGGCAGGTGGATCTCTCTGAGAGTTCAAAGCCAGCCCGGTCTACAGAATGAGTTCTAGGACAGCCAGGACTACACAGAGAAATCCTGTCTTGAAAAAAAAAACAAAACAAAACAAAATTAAATCAGGAGTTTTACTCTTTATATCATGTTCTACTAAGTTAAATATGCACAAAGGAGATGCAAAGTCAGTTAAATACATAGACAGGAGAATATTTATGCCCAAACAAAGGAACAACCACAAAACAAAAATTAGTGGGAAAAGAGGATGGGCAGGAGAGATGTTTCTATTCACACACATCTTGGTTTTAAATGTGTGTGCTTTAAATTCTAGGAAAGCACACTTGTCTCACTGAAGCTGAGGCACGTTGCCATCTCCTGTCAGTTTCCAGGGTGCATGCCCATTTGTCTGACAGAATCTCTCTGTCCAGCAGAAAGAAAAGGTGACACTCCCAATTTTCTTATCATGGAGGCTAGCTCCAAACCAGACCAAGAGCCTGAGCCTTTCTGAGGAGGACCAAAGAGCCCTGTAGTAGGAATGCCAGGATGGCAACCACAGACAAAGAACACACAAGCTTCTCCATGACCATCACAGACATTGAGCTACAGCCCGGATTCTGTGACGTGAACACTATTGGCTCCCACCACTGTGCCCAGCAGGTGGTGGTGAAGTCAGACCCATAAGGCATGGGGTGGGGTGGGGTGGGGGATGGGCAGAGGGGCAAGGCCCACCATGGAGGACAAGGGGACAGTAAGAACAAGCAATAAAGATCCAAAGGTGATGGCAGGAGGTATAAGAAGAAAACCATGGTGGTGGGAGTGACATTCAGTGCTTGATAAGAGTGTGTGCAAGTGGCCTCTTCCTATGAATGTGGCACTGTTGCTTTTCTATTCTTTCTCTTGGAGTCTGTCCCTAATATGCCCAACCACTGTAGCAACAACAGAATGGCAGATGTCTGTGTGGGGCTGGAGGGCTGGGTTGAGGGTTTTACCATGCTATAAATGAACTGTGCCATTTCTTTCCAGATAGCTTTGAGCACAAGCAATGACATACCCACACCTGGTATGCAGTGCGCAGTGCCACTTCTGCTGAAGATATCTGCATCTGAGTGTGAAAATCAGAGCTTACCTTCTCCTGGTGTGCATCTTACAATTATGAACTCCAACAATTCTGTCGCAATAGCTCATTTCATTGGGTATGATGCAGTAGTTAACTGTTTTCAAAATGTTTTTCAACCCAAAGGAGCCCTCAAAGGTGGCTCCACCCAGCACATCAGCACATTTTTGCTGTCAAGCATCCATCCACCTCCACTGCAAAGGCCATGGGGGAAGCCGGGAGGGAGCTGTACCTGTACGGTGTGAGAATGTTCAGAGGCGGAGGCTTGTCACTCTGGTTGTAAATGTCAGCAACAGGGTTGGGAATGCTGTTCTTGGAAACCACCTGTTGATCTTGGATGGTGGAGCTTTTGAACGCTTTCTTCATGTTGATATCCTGCAGTGAGACTATGGAGAGAAAAGTCCCCAGGGTGAGTGACAGAAGTGTTTTCTGTTTGACTCAGAATCGTAACATCTCCCAGAATGACCCACTTTTGGCTTTTTTGTTTGTTTGTTTGTTTGTTTTTCAAGACAGGGTTTCTCTGTGGTTTTGGAGGCTTTCCTGCTCTTGTAGACCAGGCTGGTCTCGAACTCACAGAGATCCACCTGCCCCTGCTTCCTGAGTGCTGGGATTAAAGGCATGTGCCACCACCGCCTGGCTTCAATATTGGCTTTTTAAGTCAGAGATTTATTTTACGTGTATGTGCCTGAGTGATGTGTGCAGTTCCAGCAGAAGCCAGAAGAGGGCATTGGATCCCCTGGAACTTGAGTTATAGGCAGTTGTGAGCTATCCAATGTGGTTTGCTGGGGCCTGACTCTGAGTCCTCTGCAAGAGCATCAAGTGCTTTTAACCAATGAGTCATTCTCTAGCTCCTGAAACGACAGTTTCTGTTGTTCCTTTAAAACCTTGCTTAAAGCCTAGCGTTAGTGGTGCATGCCTTTAATCCCAGCACTAGGGAGGCAGAGGCAGGCGGATCTCTGTGAGTTCAAGGCCCGCCTGGTCTCCAGAGCGAGTGCCAGGATAGGCTCCAAAGCTACACAGAGAATCCCTGTCTCAAAAACAAAAACAAACAAACAAACAAACAAAAAACCTTGCTTAAGCAGAATGCCCTTTCCTCTCTCTAAAGAGTAAGTTCTCTCTATGACATGAGGTCAAATTACAGCTTCGGTTTTTTTTTTTTTTTTTTTTTTTTTTTTTTTTTTTTTTTGTGACAACAGAAATACTTCATTGAACCAGGGAATCATTTTGTTGCTGTTGTGTGAGTAGCACCTCTCAGACACCACACAGTAAACATCTGAGTATAGCAGGCATATGCACAGATCTGGAGATCTTAGGAGAAGCCATTAGCACCAGTTTCAGTGAAATGCTTCACAGAACAATACACCAATGGCAGCATCTCTCACATTGATGCGGAAGAGAGACCGTGAAGCTCTTCCACCTATGACTCACACGGTAATCATCCTGATCTAGGAAACAAAGTTGAGTTAGGAAAGCACCCGGCTGATTGGGTGGGTGAGCCTTCTTGCATTTTCTCACAACTTTAACTCCCCCGACCTGGACATTAGGTGTCCCTGCTGGTCCTATCTGCCCTCCCACTAGATCATCAAAACTGTAGGTCACATATGCTGTTGGACATTACCAATGAAGTGATGGCCCAGAGAAGGGACCTAGATTCCTTAGCTTTTAGGAAATGTCTCAGCAATGTTCATATGCATGGCAGTGCAAATGATACAGTGAAATCACGCTGGAAACGGAGTTTAAAGACACGACACATTCCCTGAAACTTTGTATCACTTAACCTATTCATCGTTTCCAGTGTAGAGTTAATCATAAGCATCCACTTCTAAGAGTCAACAAAAAATGCGCAAGAAAGACACTGTAAAACTCAGCTGTGAAATGAGGCCAGAGACGGCACAGCAGATAGGAACACTTGGTGCTTTTGCAGGGGACCTGAGTTTAGTTCCTAGCGCCCACACTGGGTGGCTCACAACTGCTTGTAACACCAGCTCCCGGGCTTTCAATGCCCTCTCCTGGGCTCCATGGATACCTACACTCACCCACACACAGACACAGAGAAACACATAATTAAAAAGTAAAATAAATCTTCTTTTAAAAAAACACTAAGAATTCCTTACCTGAATAGACCAAGTAACCATTAAAATTTTATTTTTTAATCTGTAAATAAAACTTCAAAACTCAATGAAAATGAGACTGTCCTAAGATTATTATTATCGAATTCAAATGTAACACCTGCAACTTTTTAAAATAAGAGCATGACATATGAAGTAGACGAGATGTGAATCTTTTTTTTTAAATCACTAATTAGCCAAGTGTTATGGGGCATTCCCTTCCCATTCTTCCAGGAAGAGACAAGATAAGTGGCAATGTGCTACCCAGAGGGAAAAGCGGAGATTACACTGAAGTTAATTACTGCTGTTGTGTAGTTCACTGCTTTCGTGCAATTACCTACCCTCCTCCACTGTGGAGTCCAGCTGGGTGACTTTGACGGCAAGGCGATCAATTCTGTCTTGAAGAGAATTTGCTCGGATGTAGAAGTTGTTAGCCTCATTAAACAACTCACCAAATATGTCTTCTGCATGCTTGCCTAGAGAAGAGAAGGACACCTGCTGAGGAACTGTGAGGCAGGCTCGTTGCCACCACCACATAGTGCTTGTCCAAGTGAATATCAAAGCACATGTCATGGCCTAAGGCCTTCAGAACAGTAAAATATCCCAGACAGCACAGCATCCTCCTCACTGCCTGAGCTGTCAGTCAAGCCAAGCTGTCACTCAAGTTGTTACCACTAAGCGAAACTTCTTTAAAGGAAAAAAAAAAAAAACTTTAAGTTCTCATTTTACACAAAACAGAAATATTACCTCATGAATTAAGCTCTCCTTTTATTGCTCAATGGAATTCAAGAGATCACATTGGTCGTTAAATGTAGAATGTCATTGAACAAATGGCATTGATTCTCTTGCATTGCGCTTGATGCCTTTTGATGACATTGTATTCCCTGAACACCTAGAAATGTAGTACTGAGTCTCACATGCTCTAAAATTAGCCAGGCCCACCTCTACTTTCTTATGATTGCTAGACATAGTGTAGGCAGTGTCTCACTTTGTAGCTCAGGCTGGCCACATTCCCTTAGCTCAGCCTCCCCGGGACTGACATTGTTAACATTTGCGAGCATGTCTGGGCCTGTCCTATATTAATATCTATTTAACATTTCTGGATAGATGTGTTTTCTCGCCTCAAATCTCCAAATCTCATCACCATTTTTGATTCATTCTACAAATGTTTAGTGAATGGGAACTTAGTGCATCTAAAAAATTAATGCCTCTGACAGAAACAACTAGCACCTCTGCTGATTTTCATTTTCTATAGAGTCTTTGCCCAACTGACCAAAGAGAATCTGAGCATTCCAGGAAGACGGGTTGCCTGGGGTGGTTTGAAACAGAAATACTCTTCATAGATTGATGTATGAGAATACTTGGTTCCCAATGGGTGGCACTGTTTGTGTGTGTCTCTGTGTGAGTGTGTGTGTGTGTGTGTGTGTGTGTGTGTGTGTGTGTGTCTGCCTGTCTGTGTGTGTGTGTGTGTTTGTGTGTCTGGGTGTCTGTGTGTATCTGTGTCTGTGTGAGACCTGTCGGGAGCGGAGCCTTGCTGGAGGAAGTGTATTCCTGGGGATGGGCTTTACATTTTTGGTCTTACCTACTTTCAGTTCATCCTCTCTGCTTCCTGCTCAACCAATGGCCACCATGCCCCTTCTGACATTACAGACTGCCCTTTGGAGAATGTAGGCCAAAATAAAGTCTTCCTTCTATACATTGGTGTTGGTCATGTATATCACACAACAGCAGAAAAGTAACTAATACAAACAATCTCCTTTTAGAAGACACCTGCAGCTGATCAACTCAGGGCCAAATCCATGACAACAGGAACTGTGTCTGTGTACAACTGTAGCTCCAGCAACAGAGCCACACCTCTCTATCACTCACTCAACAAATGAATGAGTGAGCCCAGCACACAGACAGGAGTTATTGCTTTCATTCTCTAGACGATTACACTGAGAAGCACAAATGTTGATCTCTAAGCAACAGACCTTGTAAGTGGCAGAAATAGATGAGACAAAATTTTACCTTGTTAATTTTAGCTTCTATCATCTAACTCACTGAACCTCCTTGGCCACATACAACAGTGTGACAGATCCTCAGAATATGCAACACAGAATCACACAGAATCCAGTCATTTCATTTTTGAGCATTGCCCAGAAAAAACAACTGTCTTTTCTGTCAAATAAAATTTTAATGGCTGGAGAGAGAGCTTGTGGGTTAAGAGCACTTTCTGCTCTTGCAGAGGACCCAGGTTCAGTTTCCAGCACATGGTAGCTCACACCATCTGTAACTCCACTTCCAGGTCATCCAATACCCTCCTTTTGCCTCCGAAGGCACTAGGCACATGCATGCATGCACAGGAAACACTCATACACATAAAATAAATAATCAAATAAATGAAAAGTAAGCAATAATAGAAACAGATGTTTGTACACACATGTTCACAGAAGTATTATTCAGTATGGCTAAGACGTAAAAGCAACTCATGTGTTCACCAATAGACAAATGGGTAATAAAGTAGAATATCTGCCTTCAGATGGCAATAAATTCGGGCGCATTCCACAACATGGATGAGCTTTAAGGAAACTATGCTAAGTGAAACAAGATGGTCACAGAAAGGCAATCCCATCTGATTTCATGCACAGGCATTATAGAACAAATTAATCAGAAAGCAGACTTGGGGAAGTTACCATGGACTTGAGGAAGGTGGGTGGGTGGTGTAATGTGGCAGACTCAGTTCTGTGAGAGGAAACATCTGGACATCTGTCACAGGGCATTGTGACCATAACTCAGCACCACTAACTACACATCTAAACACAGTAACAAGTGTCAATTTCATGATATGCATATTTGTCACAATTAACACTAAGAATGTGGAAGCCTTGAGGAGGGAGGTTGGCAGAGTGGAAGCTTAACTACATTAAGGAGCAAGACAGTGCTTTCTTGCCTCGAAGCCAAGCTGTGCCCTCTGACTCCCCAGCTCCTGATTTACAGAACAGCTTTCATGACAAACTTCCAGAACAAACACACCCAGGCTGTCTCGTGAATGCTGAGCAGCCACCAGAGCTCTGGCTACCACAGCCATCTTACTGACCAAAGCCAGCTATTCCCACGAGTGAAGTGCTCTTAGGAATGGCACTAGGAGTTTAGAGTTTGGGAATTACAGAATTAAAACACATGAACTGAACCATGAGTTGGTTAACCTAAAACCAAGTCCTCTGAGGTGCAGGGTGGGGTTTCTGGTAAGACACCAACACCGAGCTCCCATGATACCCTGTTTACCTTGCTCCTGGCTCACATAAAGATAATTCTGTTTTTAAGTCACTAGCTTTCTGAGCATGTGAACTAAGCCTTTGACCCTTGAACACCTTACACAGAGCTGGTTCTCAAGGCTACTGAAGAGAAAAGACATGGGCTGAAGCAGGGTCTTCTTGTTAATTAGTAAACATGCAACAGATGCTGCTGCCATAGACTTGTTGGGAACATCAGCTACATGGATCAAATGTTTCTACTCCTTTGGAGCACCTCAAAATCCTGACCGGGCACTGGGGATTTGACAGCAGAGCATTGATCAGACCCTGTGTGAGAAACGTCAGTCTACCAGTGTTCTGTCTGAATGTGTGACATAACCACAGGCCACGAACTTGTCCAGCACTTGGGAGGCAGAGGCAGGCAGATCTCTGTGAGTTTGAGGTCAGCCTGGTCTACAGAGTGAGTTCTAGGACAAATAAGATTGTTACACAGAGAAACCTTGTCTCAAAAAAAAAACCAAAACACAAAAAACCTCACCCTTATGAACAGTGTGCATCACCAAGACAGATACAAACATCTCAGTCTCTTGCAGAAGTCACAGCATCCTTTCAAAGCGTGGTAACTTTTGTTGAGAAAACTGTACACTCTATGCTAGATGCTATACAAGCAGAAAATGATAGATAACATGGAACTCTACCATCAACTCAGCATGAACTTGATGCTATCTTTCCACTCGGAAGCTCTGGATTTATAAAGACACAGAAATTAAAGACTTCTGTAATTAATATTTTCCAGCTGTGGAAAGCAGATGAGTGGCTAAAAAGGAAAGAAATTGAAGGAAGTATATTTTCTGGTGAATATGTATAAAGTGTTGCCATTACACTTTTCAGTTTTCCAAGAAGATCTGAAATGCTGAATTTTACAAATATATATATAGCAAGTCTAGTGACAGTTAAAGTAAAATGATTCTGAAGTGAATTAATGACCGTGTTGAGAGAGTTGCAAGTTATTCATTTGTTACTGACAAGTTCCTACCTCTGGATTTATCAGGACCTTGTGAGCCAACAACATCAGATTGTGAAATAAACCCCCAAAGTGTCAAAGCATAAAGATATGAAGGGATTTTTACCCATATTTGACAGCTAAGAGTTTTTCATTATTTTATGTGTATGGGCGTTTTGCCTATATGTCTGTGTGTGTGCACCACATGGCCTTGGATAAAGTATATCAATGGAAGCACAGAGGGTTCTATCAGGGGAAGAACTGTCCAGCAGAAGACAGCAGTTGACTTGATACATGTGCACAAGACCTAGGAGGCCAGAGTGGCTGAGCCCAGAGAATGGTGGAACCTTGGGAGTGGGTCAAATGTCAGCAAGACAGGAGGCTCCCGTCCACCAGAGAAAAGGTGGTGGTGATTAGGATGGGGTTACTGGTAGCAGGGAAGTGAGGGGGTGTGCAAACTAAGTATTCTCAAGGTAACTGAACACATTTGCTATGGAGTGAATGTTTGGTAAGAAAAAGGAGAGACAAAGGTAGAAGTTATACATTGTGTTTCAGGCATATTGTCTCTGATGTGCTTATGAGAGACACTAGGTGAAGGTATCAAGGGAGCGGTTGCATAAATGAATTTAAAATCTAGGGGAGAGGTTAGAACTGTAAATGTAAACTTGGAAGTCACAGCATAAATACTGGCAGAGTAGTTTACCAACTGTTTGGGAAAAGGCAAAAAAAAAAAAAAAAATCCCAATGGCCACTCCCAACACTCTGTTGTGCTTGTCCCAATAGAGAGAATGGAAAGATGAGACCATCCAGGAGAAACATCACAGTGAGGTGCTCCAGAAGCCAGTGCAGACCAAAAGCTATCCATGAGCAAATGTCAACAAAATCAAGTAATGCCGGCGAGACCGAGGGCATTGGCCACTTGGAAGTCACTGCAAAGATTGATGCAGCTTCTAAAGCCTGGGTGGACAAAACCTGAGCGGGAACAGGAGACAAGGAGGGGAGTGGAGGCTGTGGAGACTGAAGAGTCTTTGAAGGAACCTTGCTGTGAAGAGAATCAGCAAACAGGGGGCGGATGATCAAGAGATATGGGAGCACTCTCATTGGGTTATATTTGATGGGAGGACAATGAAGAACAAGAGGACTGAACAGGAGCTTGTGGGCTACAGTGGCAGAATTGGATCCAACAGATGCATGAAGACCACATCTGCGGTGAAGAGGGGCAGCAGTGTAAGGGTTG